GCAGGTCCAACTATGTTTAAAATGCGTTTTTGCACCTTGTCTAAAAGAGAAAGGGTATCATTAGAAGATCTGCCCCAGATATAGCAACAGTATTCCATGCAAGGTTGGATTTAAGATTCATTGAGATAGAGAATAGAATCCAGAATAAGAAAGTGTCGAGCTTGATAAAGAGATGCAACTTTAGCAGATGCCAATTTTGCAATGGATTTAATATATGGTTTCTAAGAAAGATCAGAAGTAAGAGTTAATCCTAGAAGATGAAGGGTTGATGACTCATTAAGTACATTACTGTTCATAAATATAGGAAGATCTAAATTATTGCGATAACGATTGGCTGAAAAAAATTGAGTTTTATCTGAATTAAAGTTCACCAGCCACTATGAGCCCTATGCTGTAGCAGAAGTGAGATCTTTTTCAAGCTCAAATGCCCCCTCCAAGCAATCAGAGAGAGTTGGCTTCTTATCATGACAAGATTAAATGGTAGTATCATCAGCGAACGATGTCACCTTAGATGTGAGAATATCTGGAAGATTGTTAATGTAAATTAAAAAGAGTATAAGCCCAAGGATTGAACCTTGAGGAATCCCTGAGGTTACAGAATATAAAGAAGAGTGCTGTCCATCAAGGACAATTTTTATACTACGATCGGAAAGGAAGGTTTTAATAATCTTAAAGATTTTACCAGATACACCATAAGAAGAAAGTTTATGGAGAAGACCAGTATGCCAAACTTTATCAAATCCTTTAGAAATGTCAAAAACAATGGCCTTAACCTCTCCACCTTTATCTAATGCACGATAAAACCTATCGGTTATTACTGTTAGCAAATCAGCCGTAGAACGAGAAGATCGAAATCCATATTGATGAAAGTAATCCGAAAGTAAGTTATTAGATTCAAGATGAGAGATTAAGTGTTTGTTAATTAAAAATTCAAAAATCTTGTTTATGATAGAAAGAAGACTAATGAGACGGTAGTTCGACAAATCGGATCGCTCTCCAGAATTTTATAAAATAGGGATAACAGATGCTGCTTTCCAGCAGGCTGGAAAACAAGATTCTGATAAGCACTTGTTGAATAGTTTTGAAAGGATAGATGACAGCTCCGGAGAACACTTCTGCAATAACAGGTATGTTGTTCGGGCCACAAGCTGTAGAAGAGTCTGAGCTGGAAATCACTTTAGATACAGAAGCTTGAGTGATATGGATGTCGAGCAATGGATCAACCTGTTTGACGGCTATATCAGGTAGAACGCAACTAGTGGAATCATGAGATGATATTGATAAAAAGTTCTTATCAAACAATTCAGTTTTGTCTTTAGGTGAGGTGACAAAGTCTGAACCATACAAAATAAGTGGAATTACAGACTTGCCTTTATTATTAATACTATCAAAGATTCTCCAGAATTCACAAGAGCCTAACTTTTGTGATGAAATACGAGATTTCATGACCTGAGAATAGCGGGCTTTGGCATTAGACAAAACCTTTTTACAATGGTTCCTAGCAGTAATAAACAGACGTCTGTTTTCTGGACAATTGTTTTGCTGATAGATATGGAAGTAATGGTTTTGATTGGCAATTGCAGCAGTACAATGTGAGGAAAACCATGGAGAAGAGTGAGGCTTGACCTGGAATTGTTGAGAGGGAGTAAAAGATTCCATGCAAGCCTGAATCCACAAAGTTATATAAGAAACGCATTTATCAACAGGACGAAAGATTTCTACCCAAGGGCCATCACAAAGAAAATCACGGAAAGAGTCCCAGCCAGCTTTAAGGTAGTTGTAAGATGTACGATGATAAGGGGATTCTGATGATAAAGAAGAATGAGATAAGAGTTTTAGAGAGACCAAACCATGATCGGAAGCACCTAAGGGTGAATGTGGAGAAAATGAGCACTGACTAGGATCAGAAACAAAACATAAGTCGAGTAGAGAAGGTAAATGATTGGGGTTGTCTGGAAAGCAATTTGGAAAGTTGACTATTTGAGTTAGGGATTGAGAAAGGCAAAAGTTGTGAGCTTTAATGCGTGCAGTGTCACTGACACTAAAACCAAGCCGTTCAGTGTGATGAACATTAAAGTCACTGACAACAACAATATTGGCTGATGGATAAAGAGAGAGGGCTTGGTCAATATGATCAGAAATAACATCAAGGAGAGTGCAGTCTTGAGATGAAGGAGAGCGATTTAGAACAAAGAGAAAGGTGATAGAGTGAAGTGGTGCTAAATGAAAGCACATAAAAGAGTAGTCTGTGGATTCAAACCTAGTTTCCCGACAAATGGGTGATTTCTTACGAATGTAAATGCCCAGGCCAAGCATGTGACTATTGTAGTCTTTACGAATTAAAGGAAGATAACCATCAACACTAAGATTACAAGATAAGACAGCTGAACTCAAATTAGTCTCACAAAGAGCAAGTAGGTCTGGTGAACTTTGCAAGAGTTAAGACTCAACAGAAGAAAAGTTACTTCGAAGACCACAAATATTAGTGAATGATAGGTTTAGCAAACTTGGTGATGACAGTGGTTTTTTGTGTTTTATAGTTTTTGTTACTTTATTCACTTTCAAATTTGTTAAAGAACTTGACTTGAAACATAGATTGTACTCATTAGACTGTTTATTAGCCCAAGCAATTGCCTCATTACTATTAATAAACCCTAAGCCGTAACTAAGGGCTCCAATGTGGTCTTGGCAATGCACACCAAAAGTACAAACAGGGACATCATCCATGCGCAACATGGCACTGTTAATACTTTTATATTTTTTCAGCTGTTGATGGAATCAGCCTCTCTGAGAGCTACCACAGAGTTCGGGAAACCTGACTACCAGCTTATTAATATTAAGTTTTTAAGATCAAATATTTGCATGGTCATGTTATGACATGAAATTGCACGGCTTTCTGGCCAAGCCTACATGTTTTTTTAGCGATAAAAATACAGAAAAATAACTTACAAAAATAAAAGACAACTTACAAAAATAAAAAGAAATTATAAACGTTTTTTTTTTAATAATTTTTTCTATTTATTTTTTATTTAATAATTTAGTAAATAATAAAATTATAAATGAAAAACAAAATTCAAATGTTAAAATATATTCAATCGTTCTAATAAAACAACAATATATAAAAAACATCAGAGAAAAATAAAAAACATCAGTTTTATATAAACGAATGATCCTAATTATTTTATTATAAAAGTTCATTCATTTCTCTTCTTCTTTGTGAATGAAAATATCATTGTATATAAAAATTTCTACAATCGCTTTATTAACATGTAGAAGAGTGACAAATCATTTAAAAAGACTTTGGTAATTAAACTTCGAATAGCTGGATACTTGTAAAGTTGAGACAATAGAAGTTACTCTGCAGTTTTTATCTTTTGCTCAGAGTTTTTAGTGTGGGCTTAGTGAGTTACTTACTTAGTGAGTTTTTGTTATTATGTTTTTGTTTTAATTTTGTTTCTTGATTTTTATTCAGACTTTATTCTTTTATTCTCCAGTTTTATCATTTGTATAATCAGATTTTTGTTGAGTTTATTTCAGATATAATCAAGCTAATAATTTGCAAGCAATGCAAAAAATGTCAGAAAAACAACCTTCGCACCCATCATGTTTCTTTATTCAAGCATCTTGACATTTGCTTAAAAAATTTTGCAATGAACATAGCAATTTTGCAAGATCTATTTGAGTATTAATATATTGTCTTATTAAAATAATGGAATAAAATATAACAATTTTTATTGCGCTTCTTTAGTTGATTCATTTTTCTTGTGCTTTGTAAATTAAATTAAATTTTAAAAGCTTAACTGTGATGTCATTAATCTATAAAAATATAGTGACAATTATATTAAAATCTTTTTTTAAATAAACCTTGAACCAAAGAGGTCTATTCTCTTACACTTGTTTTTCAACTGTTTAGATTAAAATTTTAATTATTACTATCATTTCCGTTCAATTTAATTCATACTCTTTTATGAACTCATAATTGATTTTATATTCTTTTCGGAAATTAGGAGAAAATATATGTTATGTTGATGTGATATGTAAGTTAAAATTTTAGGTTATCTAATTTTTAATTTCTAAGAGACTTAGCATAAATAGATTTTTAATATGCTGGTATATATACTTCTTAAATGTGTTCTTATATAATAAAGGCATGTATAAAAGAAAGCGTTATATGAATTTAAAAACAAACAAATCTCTTTTACATTTTTTAATACATATAACCGATAGAAAGGTATTAAATGCAATATTATTTTATATATCAGGTGAAAGCAAAAGTATAAAAACGAAAATAAAATATGAAGATATCATAGTATTTTTTATCATAGAAAAGGAATATATATATAATTATAAATTATTTATAAATATTCATTTTAAACAAATTAGTCCAAAATATCTTCAATTTCAAAATCGAACGCAGTTTCTTCACTTTCACTTGTATCATTTTCACAATATTAGCATATTAAAACTGTTTACTCTGTATAATAGAAAGCATTAATTTCTGTTCAGTACAATTTAAAACAAGCTAAAAACAATTTATGTTATGCCAGTTCTGCTAAATCAATGCCAGTACTGCTAAAAACAATTGATATATTAAATACTATTTAAGTAACTATTTACTTTAAGATTGCTTTTGTAATTGGTACAACAAATTTGATTAAAAATATACAACTGATACAAACAGAAAATAAACATTTTGAAAACATGTTGAAAAACTAAATAGTAAAGATATTACACATACTTAGATCTGCAGTACAGACTTTTGAAGAAGTTTTCATATTAAATGAAGATAAAAAGTTCACTATCAAAATATTTTTATAATATATAATAATATTAATAATATCACAAAAATTATATATATATATATATATACATATATATATATATATATATATATATATATATATATATATATATATATATATATATATATATATATATATATATATATATATAATATTTCTGATTTTATTTCGATATTACTTAATTGTTTTAATATTTAGTGCAAGCTCAACGTGCAACCTCGTGGTATTCTTCTTTTTCTAGAAAGCCAACCGAAGGTAATATTTTTTTATTAACTTTTAAAGTTTATAAAAACTTTTTTGAAGTTTTAGGTTAAGAAAGTGTCTGGCTAATTAAGAAAGCCATAAGTGTCTTGTAGCTTTTTTCATTAATAGTTTTTGTACAATAGCATATAAATTTTAAAGGTTTATAATTTTATGATTTGGAAAAGATGAATTCTTTTTATTTCTCTATGATAATAGACAGCAACATTGATTTTTATTTATCATCATTCATGATTTTACTCGGCGTCATTTTTTTTATTTCTCTATGATAAGAGACAGCATCATTGATATTTGAAAAAAAACTTAAATGTTCTTTTAAACTTTTTTTTTTTAATATATTTTTAATGTTTATTATTTATTTTTTTTAGTTTTTTTTTACTTTCTAATTCAAAAAAACTTGAAAATATAATGATTTATAACAATCATTATATTTTTAACAGAGATACATAAGTTAAAATAAGCCAGGCGCTCCATTTTGTTAAGTGGTGCAATAAGGGCTTCCGACTGAGTGTGCCTACTGGCAAAGTTGCAAAGTCAAGATCTTTGAGAGGAGTTTTTTAAGTTGCCCTTTTTACTGTCTAGGAGTTTAAAGGAGCACTGTAAACTCCTCCAGTAATAATAAATACTAGTAAAATGTTATTAAAAGTTTGTATTAGTATTAATAGTATATAAATAAAATTATCTTTTAAGTTGAAGCTCAGATAATTGAAACATTGAATCATCTTTTGTTTTTTGCTTTAAAAAGTCATCGAGAAAATTTTAATTGAGAAAAAGATTCCTTTTAGCTTCTTATTGAAAGTCAAGCATCAAGATCTTTTACTAATTTTTTTTTGACCTAATATTTGTTAAGTTTAGTTTTCTTTAAATAAATTTAATTTTTACTTTTTTTTTTAATGATTTATTTATACTTTAAAAAATGATGATGGGAAAGAGTTCTAAAGCATTAAATGCAAAGAAAAAATTTTGATGTGGAAAATGCGAAAATGAATTTTGGTTGACAGAACAAGACATAATAGCTTGTTTGAGCTGTGACAATAATAGTATTTTTAGAAAAGAGATAGTGATGCAAACTTACAATGAACTTAAGCTCGGCAGATAAAACAGATATAGCATTTGGCAAATAAAGCAGATCTAAATATATTTGTGATGCATTTTTGGACTTTGTTTAGAAAAAAAAGAGTATTGTTAGAAGAAACAGCTCAAATGTGACAACAGTATTCCATACAAGAACAAAAAAAGATTTGTAGAGGTAGGGGTTGGAATCTGATGTAAAATAATAGATAGCACAATAAATGGAAACCACTTTAAAAAATGCTAACTTTGCAATGGATTGTACATATGGTTCCCATGAGAGTTCAGTAATGAATGGTAATCCGAGAAGATGTATAGTCGAGGACAAGAGTAATAATGGCTCTATCTTGTGTTGAACCATAAAGACGAAGATCAACTCACTTTAGATGTGAAAATATTATCATTTTTCTAGAAACTATCTGACATATATTATGATAGAAAATTGTGAAGATAGTACAATTGCTTCAGCGACATTAAATGTCTCAACTGAAAATGATGTGTTAATAATTTAAAAACAATTGTTTGAACACTGAAAATGATGTGGTAATAGTTTAAAAACGTTTAAACACTCATGTAGAAAATTGTTTAATTGGTCAAATTAGAAAAGCTTTTGAAATGTTGCATTCATTTTGTTGATTTTTTGCCCCACCAACGCGAGCCTTCACTTTGCTTTGTGGTTTGCCTAAAAATGCATAAAGGTTCTATTGGTGAACAAACATCTAACATATTTATGCATGAACAGCCTATGATTCAGTTTGTTCCCATAGATTCTGAGATAGAGTTGTATGTGAACACTAACATTGTTTGCGATCTGAGTACAGACCAGCATAAATGTTATGAGATTTGTATTGAAAAAGCTAAAGGTTTGATTTCTATAAAGTATGCTAACAAGAAACCTGGCCCAGTTTTCCATGCCCAGTGCCAAACTCTTGTTTTAAGAATTGTGTTGATGGAACTGAGATATCTACACATGATTTAAACTTTATCACAAAGTAGATAATCTATGTTTACTGTCTTATGTGGTTTGGTGCAAAAGGTTCATGGCATTACAAAGATGCACCAAGGCTTCTTCATAAAACAGTTTTTATGCTATACTACTAGATGATAAAAAAATTTATAAAAGACTGTGCCTCTAATGAAATTCTGCAGATTAGATTATCTAGGGAAATTGATTAAGATTTTAAGTCTAAAATTAAAACTAAAATTTAAATTTAATTGAAAATAAAATTAATCGAATTTTAATTTAATCTTCAATACTGGCTCCTACTTCAGTTTCTTCAAATAATTTAGTACAAGCTATTCAAATTTGACTTTCTTTTACTGATTGCTTAATTAACTTTTACTTAATTAACTTTCTTTTACTGCCAGACAATTTCCGATTTAGAATTTTTTAAATATGTTTTTGGATGGATGAAAAGACATACCTTGATTCTGGTTAAAAACTAAAGCAGAACCGATAACAAGAGAAATGCAAAAGAGTGAAAAATTGTGTATACATTTTTCACAAACATGTATGTTACAAATCTATATTGAAATTAAAAAATCATTTTCCTAAGACTTTGACAATGAAAACATATATAAATTTCAATTCAAACTCTTTTAGGAAAGGACATACTTGTAAACATCCAGCTTGGTGTTACTTTCATTATGAAGACAATAAAAAAAGTTTAAGTAAAGAATGTTAGAAATATTAAAAAAAAAGAAGAATTCATTAGGAAGAAAACAAGTTTGTAAACAAAAACAGTTGAAATTGCAGTTTAGATATGTGCCCCTGCATGTGGTAAAAAGCTCCAACCAGAGCCAACGCAAACAGTTGTTAAATAGGGGTGTATGGTAATGTTATTTGTTAACTTTAAAAAATAATTCCTCACATGTCACACATTTTCCAACTAAGTCCATTTTTGCTGACTAGCTTAAATAAAATGTATTGTTTAAGTGGGGTTATTCACCCCTCCCTTAAACTCTTTTTGCAACCCTGGCCCTAATTACTTTTAAACAATGCCAATTTTAAAGAGGTTTCTGTATACAATAGACTAGAAAACTTGAAAATTGGTTCATGAATAAGTATTTTGAAAAATAAAACTCTTCTGAATAGTGAGAAAATACAAATAATTGAAAACTTCAAAGTAATTTTCCAAAATTATTATAAATCAGAAATGTCTAGTTTTTTTTGAAATTTGTGAGCCGATTTGTTTAGGAAAAAAAGTTTTTTTTTAGACAGTTGCTTAATGAGTATTTTTCAACTCAAAGAGCCCCAAGTCAGAGTTAATTTCCTAGCCTTTGCAAAAAAAAAAAAAAAGCAAATTCTACATGACAGCAAGGTATGGAGCAGGTTGTAGTGGATTGCAAACTTCTTTTAACTGGAGTAATTAATAGAAGTTAGTTATGTAAGTAGTAATATAAACTAATTGTAAATTTAATAAAGATTTTCATTTTTACTTGTAGCAAATATTATTTAGTTATTTTTAATAATACAATTTTTTTTATACCCAGTTTTTTCTGTTTTACATAATTTTGCTTAAAAATTAAAAAATGATAAATTTTCTCTATACTGTATGATTTGCACCTACAATATATCTTCAAAACATGATTTTAACATTCAATATTTTTTTTTCTTTTTAAGACTTCAAAGTAAGGGCTTATCGTTTGTTTTTTTATTATCATTATCAGGCATACCTGATGTCTAAATCACAATTTTTAAATTTTTATTATGTATTTTTATTTTTTATTTTTAAATTTTTAAATTTTTATTCCTTTCACAAGTATATGTATAAAAGTTATAGAATTTTGTGTTTTTAGACGGCTGTGTCCAAATATTTTAAATTGTGCTTAAATATTTTATTGCTAATCAAAGTTGTCTGAAATTTAGTTGGTTCCAATTTTTGGTGAAATTTGGTTATTTAAAATATTAATTTATGTTTAATTTGACATTTTAATTAATATTGATATTATTAGGATATAATACGTACAATTGATAGACATAATCTATTTTAAAAAATTTTTGTATTTAAAAAATATTTTCTAAATCTAAAGAGAGGTTTAAAAAAATTGTTTTATCACAGACTGTCATAGATATATTTTATTTCCAAAATTACTTATCATGATGCATTTTTAAGTATTTGTTATTTAATTATTTATTATATTTATTACAGTTATTATATTTTTGTGAAACATTCACAAAGCTTTTTTGTATAAATAAATTTTAAATTTTTATTATGTTGTCAAAGTTAATAAGATTACTGTAATATTATGACAACTTAACAAGATTTTTGAAATCTTGTTAAGTTGTCATAATATTACAGTTATCAAGCCTTTTTAGGAAGGGCATGAGGTCGCACGCCTTGTTTGTCCAGGTTTAAAGTAATTTTTTTAGAAAACTTGACCACGTTTTTATATAGTAAGCATTTTAAGAATTTGCTGCAAATTGCCATAAGAAAGTACAGTGAATAAAACAGCAAAACTCGAAGAAAGTAAATACTATATGAAATAAAAAATCTAAATAAAACATACTAAAACAAATTGAACATTAAAAAAAGAAAAACTTTGTCAAAAAAGTAATATTTTTTTAGGTGGAATTTTTAGGAAACTTTACTTTAAGTTTTAAAATACATTTTTTCAAACAGAGCAATTGTTATGTTCATTATTTCTAGTTATTCATATTAATGTTGTAAATTGGGCAATATAAAGGAAACAATTTCAGACATCAAATGTAGTAGATACGTTTATAAAAGAAACTATTTTTTAATTTCTTCTGGAAAAATTTATTAATCAAATAATATATTTTACAAATAAATAGCAATTTATTTTCTTATTTTTCTGATAAAAATTTTATAAAATTTTTATTTATTAATTTTCTTTATTTAATAAATTTTTCTAGTTTACTTAATTAAAGTTTGATATTTCGTTACAATTATGTTTCCTTTTTTTAGTTGTTTTTTTTTTCATTAGTTTAGCTTTTTTCAGCAAATTGATGAAATTTGCTGAAATGAGTTAAAAGATATGAACTGCCATGGTCAGTGTGTCTAAAAAAATTACTTTAAACGTGGACAAACAAAGCATGCAACCGCACGCGCTTCCTTTGAAGACTGGGTTCTCAATTAATTTATAATAAACAGCATATTGATTTGTATTATTATTTTGGTTCTTTGGTTGCATTAAAATCTATTAGGTTCATTTTAATTGGTGCTGGTGCTGTTGCTATTTTTATGCTATTCTGTTGCTATTCTATTGCTAAGTTTTGAAATCTTATTCTGTTGCTAAGTTTTGAATTCTTATTAAGTTGTCAAAGTTTATAAAATTACAGTTATATCTCATAATTTATATTATAATAAATTTATTATCATAGTTTATAATTATAATAATTAACTTATAATAATTAACAAATTGATTTATATTATTATTTTGAATTCTTTAGTTGCAGTGAATCCAATTGAGTACATTTTAATTCGGGGTGGTGCTTTTGTTATTGGGTGCGGTTTTTTTAGTTTTCTCATATATGGAAATGGTATGTTTAAATATTTTATTATGTGTTTTAATTTTTTTTTATTTATCAAAATTTTATTTATAATTCTGTTTACAAGTTTAATTTTAAATAAGGATTGAACCACGTCTAGGAATGCATAAAAAAGAAATAGCATGTTTTTATCTTAATCTTTTTTTTTTGCTTTATTTGTTAAAAGATATTTGTAATGAAAAGATAATTCACAAAAACAATAAAAACTTATAAAAAATTTAAAATGAATACTTTTAAAAAGAGTTGTGTTTTTTTTTTCTCACCCTAATTTTTTAGCATCAAATTTTATTTTTATTTATTTTTGAATGTTTTTCAAATTATCTTGATTGTGGTAGTGTTGTAGTGGTAGAGTGCTTGTTTCATAGTGAAATGTTTCGAGTTCAATCATCACCACATCCTTGGAAGTACAGTGCTTAACTTGTTTCTCTGCACAGAGGCCTTGTTTGCCAAGATTCGTGTTTTAGAGTTATAGAGTTGAGAGTGGTTGTAACCATGATTTAAGTGGCCTCCTTGATTGTAGTGGTTGTTTTGGCTTTGGAAAGGTGAATTAACATTAAAAAAATATCAAGAAATTTATTTTCAAAGTTAATGTTCAACTATTTTTTTAGTTTTTTTTTTTTTAAGTTTAAAAAAATTTAGTTTGGTTTCTTAATTGTTTTAACATATTGCAAACTCAATGAGTTATTTTGTTTTATATGTGGACTTTAGTGCCTCCAGTTCCAACACCCACCATGCCTCCAGCACCTATCATGATACCAAGTGAAGTTAATATTAAACATACTAACTTTTTAATCAAAATCAGTAAAAAAAATTTTAGCATTTATAAAAATTATTGTATAGATAGCATTCAAAAGTGCTAGTGCTATATTTTGAGTGCTACTGCATTCAAAAGCTTGCCTTTTAATAATCTTTGTTAATCAAGTATTATTAATAATTTAAAAACTTATTTAGAAATAATTTGTTCATTGCAATGATTTCGCAAATGGCAGGAAAAGCTATGAGAAAAATTAATGAAAAGATTGACATTAAATACTACAAGTTAAATATTATAAGTATTATAACATTAAATTAAAAAAAAAAAAAGTACAGTTGGAGGAAAAAATGTTTTTAGTTACGTACAACAATTTGAAATAAAAATAAAAAAAGAACTTCAATCTTTGAAGTCGACGATGTTTAAGAAAAATAGTTTCATATTTTATATTTCTGCTCATTAAATCATTTTAAACAATTTAATGAGCAGAGATAATTACTTAATAATAACATTATTAACTTTTGTGCGCAGTTATTATTGTTTTATGAAACACTAATAAAAAAATTACTGTTACATAAAACCAGATTTTAATAAATATCTATATATTTTCTAAAAATTCTATTATAGAAAAAAAAGTGCAAACAAGTAATTAGTAATTTTAAACTTATCTATAAATTATTCATTCATTTATTGCAATTTGCGGCAAAAACTTCCGAAAAAATACAATTTAAAAAAAAGAAAAACAAAGTGACTAAGTACAGTTTAAAAAAGTGTTTTTATTTAAGTACAGCATTATATATTATTAAATTATTATTAAAATAATATAATAAATATTTTTATTAAGATATCAATAAGTAAGAACTTTAATCATTTATGAAAAAAGGATTTTTACCACCATTAATATGAAAGTAATCTAAATTAAGCAAAAAAATTTGGTTGATTGAGGCGAAAAACCTTTTAATAATCAAGTTGAATAATAAATATTGGTTTTAAGTATTAGAAAACAAAGTCATATATTTTTCATTGTTATTAAAAAAAGTAGTATTTTTTTTCTGCAAGTGCCCCCTCTAGAGTTTCAGGAAGATGATTTAAATAAACAAGTGTGGAAGCACGTTTATATGCTAGCTAAAAAGAGATGCTAATGTAAAGGTAAAGTTCTATGCTGATGAGAACCTTGAATCACTGATATGCTGAATTGCACAGCACTGAACTGAACAGCACACTTAAGGTGGTTGCCCAAAAAATAAATCTTGATTTTTTTTGAATTTTTTTTTTTTTTTTTAATTGTTTTTTATGAGCAGAATTCTATCCTCTTTAAAATGGTATATGAATCTCATATGTATAATTTATATAAAGTCTTTTATTTCTAATTTTTATATAATGGTATATAAAGTTTTTCTTCACTTTTTTGTTTTTGACATTTTTCTTCATTTGTGACTTCAATTGAAGTGTCAAATATCTTGGGTTTACCTCTTCAAATAATCATCAACTCCGTATCAAAGTAATGTCGTTTGGTGTATCTTAGGTTTTATGGATTTTAATCATTATTTGAATGGATATTTTTCGTTTTGACCACGTGATGCAGCATAAAATATACTATTTATTAGATTTTTATGAATGTTTATTGTGGTTTAATGACTTATTTGTATTTTTATTGGTTCTTACTCTCTTAGACTTAAATATATAATAATGGCAAAAGGAAATAAGCAAAATAATGCAAGAAAACTTAAAAGAAAGGCTCCTCTCAATCATTTTAGAAAACAGCAAAAAAATGATCTATTGGTCAAAACAAACAGTTTAAATACAATAAGCATGTGTTCTAGTGCAAAAAAACTAAATATGGGTATTCAGAATCATTTGGAGTGTCAAGACCTGTATGACTATAATATCCTTATTAACTTCTCTGTTCTCAAAAATCTATTTTTAGAGATAGCTTGTCCAAAATGTCATATGCTAACCATTAATTTATTTGATAACACACAAAAAAGAATGGGATTTTCACATAATCTCGAGTTAAAATGTACATCTTGTGACCAATGGAGTCATACTGTTTATTCATCTAAAGAATGTGTAAATAATAGCAGTAGTACCACTGGAAAAAGTATATTTGAAGCAAATGCAAGAGCGGTGATAGCTTTTCGAGAGATTGGTCGAGGTCATTCAAGTATAAACACATTTACTCAATGTATGAACATGTATGGTTTAGCCAAAAATGCTTTTGATAACCTAAACTCAAATGAAATATATAAAGCATACAATGATGCAGCTTTAAAAAGCATGAAAAAAGCTGCAGAGGATCTTCAAGATTCTTCTGATGGTCCAACACAACAACGTATAAAAATAGAAATCCCTATAAAGATTTTGGTATAACACCTCTCAAATTGGAATGTATTGGGCATGTTCAGAAGCGCTTAGGTACTCGTCTTAGAAACCTTGTGAAATCACATAAAGGTACAAAGAATCCCATATCAGGAAAGGGGAAGTTGACTGAAAAAACGATTAACTCAATGCAAACCTATTATGGAAAAGCTGTAAGAAACAACTTAAACAATGTTTATGCCATGAAAAAAGCAATCGGCTCAGTGTTGTTTCACTGTACTGCGTTTATCGATGAGAACCAGCGGCATGAAATGTGTCCACGTGATGACACTTCTTAGTGCAAATGGCAGTTAGATAAGACTAATTAACAAAAACATTCAAAAACACCATAAGTTTACCAATGTCCATTTATTACCTTTTAAAACCGATCTTTGTAAGTTTATCAGACGACGAGTTATTGAACAAATGCGTTCACGGGCAAACTCAAAACACTAATGAATCGTTCAACTCAGTTGTATGGATTCGATGTCCCAAGAATGTTTTTATTGAACAAAGAACATTTGAATGTTCAATTAACTCAGCTATTTTACATTATAATGATGGGAGTGGCGGGGTTAATGCAGTTTTAGGACATTTTGGCTTACATGGAAAGGCGACTGCTGATAAATCTATTGCATGAGATTGCCAACGTGTTACTAGAATGGAAAAGCGATCAAGTCCAATCGTTAAAAAACAAAGAAAAAAATTAAGAGCATTCAAAAAAGGGTACATGGATAAAGAGAATAAAAGTGAAAAGTGTGAATCTTACACTGCTGGTGGTTTTTAACATCTTTTTCTTATTATTTTAGACAAAAACTTGATTTTCTCATGTTTATGGTTTTACATAATTTTTAAAATTTTAAAACATAATATCTCAAGATTGAATGGATAAAATAAGTTGAAATTTTCAGGAAATACTCATATATTATATATAATCCATACATCATAGGCTTTTTCTTTATTGAGGTAAAAACTTCTTAATTTGTAAAATTTATACAAAAAATACTATGCTTTAAACACTCTTTTTACTAATAGAGGCATAACTTTTGACTAAGTGAGTCAATAAAAAAATTGATATGTCAAATGGATTTTACTATCGTTCTTAAGCTATGATGAAAGTTTGAAGTTGTAACTATCTTCACATCTGCAGATATTGTGTTTTGAAATATTTCATTTTTTTGTCTCATTTTAGCGATAAAATAGGGTAATCGAGACAAAAAATGGTTTGGTGTGTTTGAAATATTTTTTAAGTTGAGACCAGCCATTTATACCAAAATTTGGTTAATTAAATTCACAGGGTCAAAAAAAAGTTTATTTCTTGGGCAACCCCCTTAACCATTGCGCTACTGAAAAAGTGAGAGTACTAGTAAAAAAATAATTATTATGTGTAAATTAAGTTTGGCAAATGAGTAGTGTATTATTATTATTCTTTTTTTATATTAATTCACCAAGGCTGAGAAGGCCACTACAGGCAAGTAGGCTACTTAATTGTGATTATAACCCTCTCTCAACTTTATAACTATAAACACAAACCTTGACAAACAAAGCCGCTACACAGAGAAACAAGTTGAGCGCGGTACTACCAGGGGCGTAGTGGAGATCGAACTCAGAACCTCTTGCTTATGAAGCAAGCGCTCTACACCACTACTCCATTAAATTATTAATTAAATTTTAAATTTAATTAATAATTTAATGGAGTAAAACATTAAGTAAAAATTAAATAGGTAGTTAAAACCACTTGTACCAAGTGTACCCCACTTCTACCAAAAACCACACAGAAGTTAGTAAAAATTTATAAAAAATTTAAAATGCATAGGTAGTAAAAACCACTTGTGCACACAGAAATTAATAAAAATACTGAATTTATAAAAAATTTAAAATG